AGGACTCTGGGCATGGTTCCCTTCTGGTACCTCCTGCCCTTTACACACAAGCTCTTCCAGTGACACGGGGAAGCCATGAGCCCAGCCCAAGTTGAAAGGATCATGGATGGAGGTGTGTTTAACATAACTAGCCCACACAGCATCCTAGCCCACACAGCATCCTAGCCCACACAGCATCCTAGCCCACACAGCATCCTAGCCCACGCAGCATCCTAGCCCACACAGCATCCTACTCACACAGCATCCTAGCCCAGCAACACAGTTTGTTCTGGACACGGCGGTTCCACCCTCAAACCTCAATGCTTCAGACTGTCAACTACTCTGTATCTGGAGAAAGTTTATGGTGGGCCCCAGTGATGTAGACCAGACTGGCCTCAAACCTATAGCCCTTTTGCCTCAGCTTACTCAGTCTTGGGATTACATGTGTGAGCCACCACCCCTGGCTGCAAAATAGGATTTTGGTTTTCTTTTTCTTTTGTCAGTTTTTTTTTTTTCCCCAGACAGGATTTCTCCGAGTAACAGAGCCCTGGATGGACTCATTTGGTAGACCAGGCTGGCCTTGAACTCACAGAGATCCACTTACCTCTGCCTATGGAGTGCGGGGACTAAAGGCATGTATCACCACACCTGGCCAAAGTAGGATTTCTATAGTAAACAAAGCATGTATATTAACATCATGACTCTCTTCCACACACCCTTCCTTGTGGCCTAACAAGTTCTAGGCAAGTGAGCCATGCCTTCATCCCTGCTTTTACACTACATAAAAGTCCTTGGCGGGTGTGGTGGTGTACAACTGTTTTTCCTGCCCTTGGAAGATACAGGTAGTAAACTTCTGTGAGTTCAAGGTTCACCTGGTCTACATAGCAAGCTCCAGGACAGCCAGGGCTACAAAAGAGACCCTGTCTTTAAAAAATAAAGTTCTTAGTTGAACCATTCTAAGCCTGGGGCCACTGATACACATCTTTCCACACTGACATATAAACACACACACATGCCAGAGTACACGATACACACCCTTTCTTAGCATGTTCACACAAACACTATGCATGTGCCGTGTACCCAAGAATACTCATGCACATTGCAGCTGTGCCCATACAGCTCCCTGTACCAAGGCAGAGCCATGCACACAGCAGCCATGCCTATACTCTCTCATACAACCAGCATGCCTGTACACATAACATCATACAACCAGCATGCCCATACACATAACATCATACAACCGGCATGCCCGTACACATAACATCATACAACCGGCATGCCTGTACACATAACATCATACAACCGGCATGCCTGTGCACATAACATCATACAACCAGCATACCCGTGCACATAGCATGTATGCCCACATCGGCCTTAGTACACAGGCACAGTCATGCACATGGTAGCCATGCTTACACATGTCAGTGCTTCCATCATGCGTGTTGAGAAAGACCACGCTAGTCCTTCTTGGCCTCACAGCATGGAAGGTTAAGGCAGTGGCGGGCAGGAACAGGCCTTCCTGAAGACTTGAGTTGCTGTGTGGACATCTGCAAGGCTGAGCTACCAGGGGTCGGGGTCATTTATAACAAGAGGAGCCACACTAAGAAGACAAAGAAGCCTTTACTTAACACTGTCACCGCTCCCCGAGGGGGCACCTGTCGAAGCTGATGGGCCTGCATCTTGCTCCTGAGGAGCCCAAAGGAAAGGCTCTAGAGATGGGAAGCACAGAGGGGAAGCATCCTGAACACCAAGTTAGAGGGAGGAAGTCTCCCAGTGGTGTCAAGGAAGGAGGGAATGGGAGAACAGCAGCCCTGTGTGGAAACACAGCCGTGAAGCTGGTACTAAGTGTCCACTGGCCACACAGTCTGCACATTCTGACTTTAGTGGTGGCTCTTTGAGCCCTCTAGCAAGAGCTAGTGGCCAGGCCTGAAGCCTACCACTTAATGATTGGCCCTCCTGGCACCATCTTCTGCAGGTGAGGGCAAGCTGCAGCTGTGGGAAGGTGGGAACCAGTCCCCTCCTGGGCCACAGTCACTGGGTAGCAGACCTTATCCATGGGAAGGACCTTCGGGCTGGGCTGGAGACACTGGCGGCTCAGAAGCTTTGCCTTTCTCTCTTTTCCTGGACGACCTCAGCGCACACAGCCTGGGGTCTCACTTTCCTGAGGGAGGTACCTGGTGTCCAACAGGGTCATGGGAGGCCTTCAAGAAGCTTCAACTGCTGCTGACTGCCTGAATCCGAGGCCTGAGGGAGCCAGACAGAGCAGCCACCAGGGGTCACCAGTTACTGGAAAGCTTCCTCGACCCTGTTCTTCATGGGACACCAGTGGGTGTCTGGGTAGAGAAGGCAGTGCACAGACTGAAATCTATCAGGAGAAGGAGTCAGGTCAGGTCTGCCCGGTGGGGACTGACACCAGAGCTCTCCAGGGTCAAAAGTCCCCAGTGTCCACTCACCGTGTCGGGTCCTGTTGTATGCTGAAACTTCCAGCTATGTTCACCACGTTATGTGGGTTCTCGGGACCCCCATAGCTCAGGGTAACCTGGGAGGGGAATCAGGGAGGGAGAGGGTCAGCTCTTCCTCCTGGGTCCTCTACCTGCTAGAGGAAATTTCACTCACTCCTTAGGCTCAGGGAAGCAGGAAAGAGACCCTTCATAAAGAAGCCCCATGAGACTTGCCATGGGCAGGTTCCTGAAGGTCCTTCATTCAGCAGGCAAAGTAGCCAGGGTCCACCCCCACAGGGACAAGGAACCTCCCTCTCCTGAGCTCTGAACAACTGGAAGACTCCTTGGGGGATAGGCTGAGTCCTTGTAGGAGTGGAGTAAGGGCCAGGTTGGAGCGTCCTCTACCTGCTGCAGAACAGCACCAGAGGGCAGCCTCTGCAGGTTTTCCAGGTGGGAGTGGAACAGGGTGCTATGGAGCAGACGGGCACCCAGAAGTCCTTCCACAATGTATCCTACTGTGCAGTCATCGGGTAGCCGGACACGCTCTGCCGTGCTCATGAAACTGCCTAGGCTGGAGGGGAGGCTCGTCAGTACTTCTAGAGCCCATCCCACCCCCAAAACTAGGCAGCGGGGCTCCCAGTCTCCCACTTACCTGGCCCATGGGCTCATTTTGAGGGCAAGGCCCCTGCTCAGGCAGAACCCAGCCCCACCAGTAGCAAACCAGAATTTCACTGTGTTTGACTGGAAAAAGGGAAAGCTTGATCAGGGCTGCCCAGGATAAGGCCTCCTCACCCTCAACCCTCCAACCGAATCTTGTTACCATTATCCTAGGCCACCCTATAGGAGTCTGCAGAAGGCACACGGGGTTTTCTGACATGTCACCTATGGCCTCTAAGCCCTTCTCTATCACTGCACCTGAGTTGCCAGTTCCTTGGGGCCTGGAAACCTAGGTACCTGGCCCACACCTGTCTTAGCATTTTCTTACTCTTCAGCACTCCTTGGGTCAGCCCCAGGGAGGATGTTAGCCCTGCACTCACGGTGCCACCGCCCTGGACCCTCTCTGTGGCTTCGATGGGGTGGTCCAGACTGGGTCGCCCCAGGTAGATGTCCTGGTTGGAAGAGAAGGTGGAAAGCAGGCGCAGAAGGCTTTTGGGGTTCACGTAGTTGTCATCATCCACGTGGCAGAACCATCTGAAGGTGGAGGGAGAGGCCTATGCACTGAGGCCCCTCCAACTTGGGTGGGGAGCCCCCACATTCCTCAGTCCTAGTTGTCTGTCGGGTGAGGCTACTTACTTTCGTCCAGATTCTATGAACTTATCGTATTCCACTGACATTTTACAGCACAGGGCTTGGCGGGTGCGCACAGCAGAGCAATTGGTGTTGATCATGCGGCCGCCTGCACGGTTGGAAACGGGAAGGTTGACTTTTCTAGCCTGCCTCCTTAGGTTTAGGTTGGAATATGCCTGTCCAGCCACTGGGCCAGGTCAAACTGCAGCCCCAGGACAGCCCTCATTCTGAAGCAGATGATAGTTACTTAGGACAGCACAAGCGGAAACAGGACAAGACTTGGCAGGTACTGCTGATGGGGCTTCTTCGGAGATTGTGGGTGGGTGACACTAGCCGTGGCACCCTGTCGAGAAATGGGAGCAGGGTGGGGGATCTGATGACTAGAAGGATGGGCACTGGGAGGTGCACTGGCAATGGATGGGTGTCTTGGCTCTGCCCTCCGGTAGAGGTGTGACACTAGTCAAGTGTCACACAGGAATGAATGGCCCCGGTAGATACAGCTCAGTCCGGGGGAGCGTCTTACCTGCCAGCAGCTGGAGCTCAGGGTCATCTCCATCGGTGAAAATGAACGTCTGTGGGAGAAAACACCGTGAGGCGCCAGAGGATCCAGTGAGTGGGTCTGGGACCAGGTGTGGAGCCCCGGGATCACGGGAGAGAGCCCGGAATCCAGGACACTCCGCGGCGGGGGACGGGGCGCGCACCTGCCGTGGGGCCCGTGAGATCCAGGTACGCAACAGCAGCCGCAGGCGCGGGCCGTGGTTCTTCCGAGTGGTCTTGACTGCAATGAAGACGTCGTCGGGTTGCAGGCGGGAGACCTCGAGGGTCAGGCTCCGGGTCGGGAGCCGACCGGGGTCCAGTGCGGGCGCGCGAGGCAGCGGCAGCGGTAGCGGCAGGAGCAGCAACACAGCCAGGACCGCGGCCAGCGCGAGGCAGGCCCGGCACAGCACCCGCCGCGCACGGCTCATACGATCGCCCCGGCCCGGGCGCTGGGCGCCCGCCTGCAATTGCGGCGGCCCCTTTAAGAGTGACAGCACCCCGCCCCGAGCCTTGACCCGGAACTGACGGACGCGCCGCCCCGGAAGTGAACGTCGCTGCGGCGCCGGGGGTGGAAGATGCCGCTGCCGGTTCAGGTGTTTAACTTGCAGGTAGGGGCTGGTGGCTGCGCTCGCCGCGTGGCCGTTCGGTCCGGATCGGGTCTGGTGGGCGGGGCTGGCGGCGGGCGGGGCGGGGCCCGCGGCTCTGGCCTGGGCGCGCGAGCGTCGCCTGCCTCGCGGGCCGCTCTGGGCCCCGGCCCCCGCCCCGCCCCCGCCTCGCGCGCCAACGCTTTTCGTGCGGGTGCTGGCCTCCCAGAGAGGTGCGTCAGGCCAAGATGCGGGGCAGCCCGGCGCCCAGCTCTGCCTCGTCGTCGGCCTCCGACCTGAGCCGCAGCCCTGCGCACAGCAGGTCAGACTTGCGGCCCGGCACGTCGGGCGACTACAGCCTGAGCGCCAGCCTGTCGGCCTGCACGCTACTTTCCGAGGTACAGCTGCGCGCCTAGCGGGTAGCGACTCTCCCGATGTCGCTCGAGGCCCTGGCCCCTCGAGTCCTCGGCCGACCTCTTCCGCATCGTGGCCTGTCTGCTTTGGCTCTCCTGATTTATGGAGATAGGATGGCAGTCTGTTTCTTTCTCTGTTGGCCTGGGGGAAGCTGTGTCGGGATCGCGTCTGGGAACGCTTGAGGGTTCCTGTAGTCAGTCGGAGTTGTGTCCAGGACCTGGGTGGGAGAGCTGAGGAGGGCACTTGGCTACCAGCACCTGTGGGAGCCCAGTGCAGTTTTGCCCTGGAAAATGGTAGGCAGAACTGACCGTGGGGGACAGGAACATCCTCTGCTGTTCCTCGTGCCTTGTGTCAAGGTGCTCGTCCTGTATTGCAGGGGGCCGTGGAACCCATGCAGATTGATGTAGATCCACAGGAAGATCCCCAGAATGCACCTGATGTCAACTACGTGGTGGAGAACCCCACCCTGGTATGGATCCCGTGTGGCGGAGGACTGCTGGCAACTTGGATCTGTTGAGGGGTCTAAGTCAGACTCCACTATGGTGTTGGTGTATATCCTAGGACGGTTGATGCTTTTTAGCAGCTGCATTAGTCACATCTCTGAGCCATGAAACTGAGTTTTCATTTTCCCTGCTGTGTTGGGTTCTCAGGCAGTGCTAAGATGCTACAACCTCTTCTCCATAGGGAGCAGTCCCGTTAAGTTGCAGTGTGAGTCGAAGCTCTATTTGCAGCCAACACCCTTTCCTGTGTTCTTGCCCAGCATCCATCACTTGTTAGATAGGGCATGCTCACGTTTCCATTTCCCAGTGCAGAGATTGAACCTTGGTCCTTAATCCATGTGGCCTTTTCCCAGCATCTGGGACAGCAGTCAAGACTGTGGTCCCGAGACTCAGGGGAAGATGTAGTGTTCTCCCAGGCTGCCAGGTCCTTGCTTACCCCAGTTGACCCTCTTATCCCCTCCTCCCCACAAGGATCTGGAGCAGTACGCAGCCAGCTACAGTGGCCTGATGCGCATTGAGCGGCTACAGTTTATTGCTGACCGTTGCCCTCCACTGCGGGTAGAGGCCTTGAAAATGGCTCTATCCTTCGTGCAGAGGACCTTCAACGTGGACATGTATGAAGAGATACACCGGAAGCTCTCTGAGGCCACCAGGTAAGCCTTAGGGGGCAGGGGAAGCAAGTGACCAGAGCTGGCCTGGCCATGGCTTTTCTGTGCCCAGCATTTCACCTGTGATGTGCCTATACCAGGGGGGAAACCTGTAGCAGGGAGAAACCTATAGCGGGGGGAAGCCTGTAGCAGGGGGGAGCCTGTAGCAGGGGGGAGCCTATAGCAGGAGGGAAGCCTATAGCAGGGGGAAGCCTATAGCAGGGGGAA